ACAAAATAATTAAGAAATAAAGAACTATATAGTACAACAAATGTATTCTTTAATAGCATTTGTTTATAGCGTTTCCAACATAAGTGCTGTGATAAATATTTAGTATTTTTAATTAATATTAATTAAAAAATAAAAACGCTATAATTGATTTTTGCCGCTATTTGTCAAAAAAATTGGCAAAAAAGAACAACTCTGACGCGTATTATTTTTTTGTGAAATGAAGAACTTTTTTGCACAAATTATAAATACAGAATTACTTTGTCAATTATATTATATTTTTTCAAATGAAGATTTTTTTTGCATAAGTTATAAATAAAGAACTATTTTGTCAATTATATATACTATTTTTTTAAATTTATATTTTATTAAATAAAATAATAAAATGCCGAATTATTAGGAAATATTTTTTGTCTCCAAATCCTTTGGTTTATTTAATTTGTATTTATTGAATAAATAAAATACTAAAAAGTTTTAATAATTAACCAACATAAACTACAATAATAATATCACCAATGACAGTGACCTCCGGTGCCACGTCTCGGGGGCCTTCTAGTCCTGTGCCCTCTACCAACTTGTTCATTCTCATCATTTTCATTATCACTCGAAGAATATGTGGATTGAGAATAAGGAATAGGTGTCATCTGACGATCTGCCAGTCGTGATGTCGACGAAAACTGATGCGTAGAACCTAAATGAACTGGGTCTTCCGAATTCATAATCGGATTATAGTAGGGGTGTGGGGTGTACAAATCTGCATCAACGGGATTATAATTATACTCACAGTTGTAGATAGTATTAAAAATAAAATCAAATGTACTAAACATACCGGATGGATGTCCGTATGATCTAGGATCTGGATAATTATCGAATGCCGGATAATATGCACGAGAAGAAGTTCCTGCCTCACCGTCGTGCATCAGAGTCTGTGACTGAGGCATTTGAGACAGTGGTATCTGAGTCTGAGTCTGAGTCTGAGGGTGAGTCTGAGTATTAGGCATCTCAGATTGAGGCATATTTGAAGGTCCGTGTCGAGACTCCAAGACATTAAGACATGTTCTGAGATTTTCACAAACTGGATTTTCACGAACACTTTTCAATAGAATTGCGGTGAAATAATTGATATTCAAGTTGCCATGATTGTCTGTCATCCCTTGCATACCGCAACTATAATCGCCATCGTAGATCCCAATTCTAAATTGTCATGTATCCCCAATTCTTGATGCTCTTAGCCTCCATCTGCAAGGTCTTGCTTCAGTGCCATGTTTGCAGATAACTTTCCAAGTTCTTTTTTGTACTTTCGATAACTTTAAACTCTCTTCTGGCAAATCGAATGGAGTGGTCTCTAACGGCTGAAGTGACCCGTGCTTTACTGTCAAAAATCATCCCCTTTTCGAGAGTACCTTTGTTGCTATCATAAAATTTTGACCACATACCCGACGGAACATCAATGGAATCGACTGGGATTTCAGGAAATGACATAGAGTAGAATGAATGTGGATCAGAAAACTGAGTAGGAGGTTCTGCAAATGATGGAATGTTGACATGAACATGGGGAGTTGATGGAATTTCTGCCTGCGGTATTGTTTGTACAACGTCATTAACGACTTCGATATTCTCATCATCGTTCTCTTCATCATTCTCATCTTCGTCTCCACGGTTGGAGGGTTCAGAGTCACTTCGAACATTTGACCCATGTGCGTCTCCGAAAGGATCCTCGTCATCATTATTATCACAATGACGAGTTTCGTTAGGAAGATCAAAATTTTCATGAGCATTTCTCATGCCACTTGATTCCCCAATATATACCCCATGATTATGATAAGAATGCCTCGATGGCCCCGCTTTAAAGCCCATATTAGAAAACCCTTGTGTAACCGCAACTAATTCAGGATTTGTTTGCATAAAGGAATTGTACGTTTCATTAAAATCAAAATGTTGTGAAGGTCTCGAAGGGGAGTAAAGAGGTTCTGATGTTGTGAATTGTGAATGTCTCGAAGGGGAGTAGAAAGGTTCTGATGTACTGAATTGTGAAGGTCTCGAAGGGGAGTAGAGAGGCTCTGATGTAGTGAATTGTGAAGGCATCAAAGGATTGTATAAAGGTTGAGACTCAACATAAACATCTATGGAATCGTTTCCTTCATCCGGGTGCAAATAGATTTCTAAATCATAATCACTTGTTATCTCAGAAACTATCTCACTCCATTGATTTTGATACCATTGTGATATTTTGCCAGACACCGATAACACAAATTCATTTCTATCTATTTGGCAACATGAGTATATTTTGGTCAAGAAGTCTGAGAAAGATATATCGCGTTTAACTCGTACGAATGTATGATGAGATTGATCATAATTCACTGACAATCCATCATGAACAATCTGGCCTCCTATGTACACGAAAACTTTGACAGTATCCCTACCCGGAGTCGCCATTGAAACCCTATATTTTGATATTTTGAGATTATTATTTTTATTTCGAAATATTTAATATTTTCTAATTATTTTTATAGCTACAAACACTAATGTTAGATTATAAATCAGTTAAAACAAACAATTAATATTTAATATTTTCTAATTCTTTTTATAATTTGATAGTTCGAAAACTATTAATTTGTATATTATAAATCCTAAACAAATTGTGTAACTCGTAATTTTTCGACACATTCATATAACACTACCAGTTAAAAAACAAACAATTTGTATAAATTAGCAAACTTATCATTCAAGTAAGACTTTAATTAACCAATAAAATATTTAATTTACCTCAAAGATAATTGAAGATTTGCTAGCACCCAGAATCACTTCTCAATCCACCACAAGTTAGACATCCACCTAGTTATAATAATAAAAAAAAAAACCATCAAAATAAAAATTTCAGCAATTATTTAAAAAAGAGAAAAAAAAAAAACAGCTCCAACCCCAAGCTGTACTATATTTGTACAATATAACAAATAATTACCTTCAAATTATTATTATTTGCTAGCTACAAAAATTCCTTCTCAAACCACCACAAATTACACTTCCACCTAGTTATAACAATAAAAAACATAAACAAAATTAAAATTTCAGCAATAAAAAACAATAAAATTTGTACAATATAACAAATAAATACCTCCAAATAATTATTATTTGTTAGCAACGTAAATCCCTTCTCAATCAACCACAAATTACATTTCACCTAATTATAACAATCAAAACACAGCAAAATTTCAATTTCAGCCATTATTTAAAAACAAGAAAAAAAAGATGAAAAAATGTTAAATTATTAAAACATGGGATCAAAAGTGAAACTGATGTAAACTTGAGGGGCAAAAGTGTAATTTTACCATTTCCATAAATTGAAAAGAAAAAAAATAAGAATTTTAAAGTCATTGATATTGAATTTTGACTAAATATCCATAAATTCAAACAGTTTGCAATCATGAATTTGAAATCTAAACCCTAATCATGGTAAAAGAGACAATTTCTGGTCATAAATTAATGGTACTAAGAAAATGGCACACACCATTCACAGTGATAATAAGCAATAATAACATCAACAATTTGAACAGATAAAAACACAACAAAATTCGTCTCCTTAAAATTATAAAATATGGAAGAAGTAAACAGACTTGTCTACGGTTCGAAAATTCTACAAAAAGTCTGGTTGGAAAAGATACAATAAACGAACAAAACCACATAATAGTTCATAAGGTAAGATTTGAACCTAAGTTCCAATGTTGGTAGCCTTGTTGAGGATAACACCTATTCTAATGCCATGACTAATTCTACCAATTTATCCACTAACTCACTAATAATTAATTTATTTATCCTACTAATTATTCTACTCGTATCATATTTAAACCATTAAAAAAATTTAAATTTCAGAAATTATTTAAACACAATTAAACATTCCTTCTTAAATCCTCCACAAGTTAAAGTTTAACCTAAGACCATCTCCAATGGAGATGGGGGTGGGTAGGGGGGGGGGGACAAAACCACCTCCAATGGAGGTGGGTAATGGAGGAATGGGTGTGGGTTGGGTATGGGTGGGGAGAAGGGAGGGGAGAGTTTGCCTTGAGCTGCCCCCTTCCAACTCACTTGCTGGAAGGGGCTTGTAATTAAGAGGGTGTTTGACTAAGCTTATAAGATGTTAAAATGAGCTTATAAGATGTTTTAGAGCTTATAAGTTCTTCCAAAATGTTTGGTAAATTTAAAAAAAAAAGATCTTAATTTTTTTTTAAAATAAGCTATTGGGGACAAAATAAGATCTTTTTAAATAAGTACCTCTACCCCACCTTTTTATTTAAGATCTTATAATGAGTAAAACTGGAAATAAACTCATTATCCAAACACTCTAAGAGGGTGTTTGACTGAGCTTATTTTAAACAGCTGATAAGCTCTTACGTCTGATAAGAAGTTTTTAGAGCTGATAAGCTGTTACATCTTATTTTTATGATTAATTTTTAGAGTGTTTGGATAATGAGCTTATTTCCAGTTAAACAATAATAATTAACAAAAAAAAAGAGAGAAAAAACTCACGGTTGGGAAGAATGGAGCAAAGGGAGCAAATGTGAGGTGAATTCCAATTGTTTAAGGAATATATATATATATATATATATATATATATATATATATATTCGGCCGAAATCACGGCCGTTGGATTGAGAAGGATCAGACGGTCCTTAAAACGTGCGATTTGAACTGACGCGTTCAACCCATCTGACAGGTCAAAGTGCGTCGTTCAAAACGACGCCTTTTAAGGGCCGTCCGATATTTTGATCAATCTGTGACCGTCCGATTAAGAGAACAAAATTGGAGAGCTGGCCGTTGATCCTAACTCAATTCGGTCCTTATAGAGACGCTTTATTGCATTTATGAAATCCATACGAAAACATCCCAATTTAAAAAAAAAAAAACAAAAAAAAAACGAAATATTGTAAAAAAAAAAAATGCCCCGGAGTTCAAAGGGTATCCTTATTTTGTTCGTTAATTCTTATATTTATACTAACTAATTTCTTTTCGTAAAAAATAGCCTCACTTAAATTGAAACCCTAGAGAAATCTGCTCACTCCGTCTCACACTTCCCTCTCCTCCAACCGGCACTTCTCCCTGGTCTTTACTCTCACCGGCGGCGACATCTTTTCGTCGGAGGTAAGTCGATTCCCATCTTATTTCAATAAATATTATCGTTCTTCTAGGTTAATTTACATAGTCTTCCACTTACAGAGGAAAAAAAAGATATAAAAAAGACGATGACTTCTCGACCGGAGCTGCAAGCCCCGCCGGAGATATTCTACAACGACGATGAAGCTCGCAAATACACCTCCTCGTCTCGTATAATTGACATTCAGGTACAAAGCTTTCACCTTCAAATAAAGATGCGATTTTTATACCGAATGTACATGGAATTTATTATTTAGCTGCTTTATCTATATGTTGAAGGCGAAACTTTCTGAGAGAGCAGTCGAACTCTTGGCTTTGCCTGATGATGATGTGCCCAGACTACTGCTTGATATTGGTAAAGTTTTACATTTTTTTTTTGTTAATTTAACTTCGATATAATTTTTTTATTTGGTTACCTACAAATTGTATGATGGTAATAATGATTTGAAGTAATATATATTAAGGCCTCGTTTGGTTGGGGAGATTAGCCGTTATTAACTAAATAGTTGGACTTTGTTTGATGTTTGGTATCCCAATAACTTGCCGGGTCGACCAGCAAATATTATGTTACCACGGCTTATCTTGTCTTCTAGGCATGTTTTTTATTGGATCATCGAAGGTCCAATAATACAATTGAGTTTTATTAGATTATTTAATTTTATCTTGGCTAATCTTATCTTGGCAACCAAACAAGGCTTAAGGGATGTTCGTTTTTCCTATTTTATTTGTGAATTGTTCATTTATGTTTTATGTAAACAAAACTATCCTGCTGCACGACCTATCACCGAGAACTGTGTCTACGAATATACATGTTAATGCAAATTATCTGGGATTTGGTTTGGGTAGTCTTAAATTAAAGATTGTGGTGGTGAACTGAAATTTCAACGCAGCTATTGTTATCTATTCACATTTGAATTTCCCTAACAATTTGCAGCTATTGTTATTCAGGTTGCGGATCAGGTCTTAGTGGGGAGACATTGACAGAATTTGGGCACCAGTGGATCGGGTTAGATATATCCCCATCGATGCTTGGTATGCTCCCGATTGGTCTTAATGTTTAATTTCTGTTGAGCTTATACTTGTTATTTATAGCTCTATGTATTTAAAATAATTTAATTTAATTGATCCAGATGTTGCTTTAGAGCGTGAAGCCGAGGGTGACCTTATACTCAGTGACATGGGTCAGGTGAGAGTACAAACCAACCCTTAATCGTATGTATATATAGTTTTAGGAGTAGTTCTGCCGAAACCTAAATCTTACGTTTTTCTCCATGGATCATGAAAAGGAAATGACGTTTGAGTTGCTAGACAAGGTTGGATGTTCCTGCACCAAAAAGAAAAAAAACCAAAATTAAAAATTTTAGTTTTTTATTAATGATATAATTAATAACCCTCTGTTTTGATCCTTCAAATATCCATGAAGAATCAAGTAAATGATGGTGATTTTTTTTTTTTTTTTTTTTTTTTTCTCTCTTTCCTTGTAGTTAATGTATTAAACTAACAAATATAATGGTACTTGAAAAAGCTGCTCATGTATTTCCAATATCTATAACCTAGAAAAGCTCAAGAACCCTCCATTTCTCGTGAATACATGATTTTGATGGTATCCGGATAAGATTTGAGTTTTCTACAATTAAAAGTAGCATGTCGATAATTTGACAATTAATTGCTCTAAACTTGTAATTGTATGTTATGCGATTCTACCTAGAGTACACAGTTTAATAAGTTATTATCCTGTTTTTAACATCTATCTTCAATGGGGATTAATAACATGTGTATGGTGAATTACTGTAGGGGTTAGGGCTTCGTCCTGGAGTCATTGATGGTGCTATAAGTATCTCAGCTGTTCAGGTTCGTATATTAACTTCTTTCAATAAGGGAATTCAGATTACGACGAACTTTGTCTCAATAATATTTTATGTTAGGTCCTAATTTTCATGTTACTGTTTCATGTGTTCAATCTAGTGGCTGTGCAATGCTGACAAATCATCTCACGAACCACGTCTGAGATTGAAGTATGTAATATCTTATTTCCGATCCCCCCTGTTTATGTTTAGCAAAAGAATAATCTCCTTTTTTTCAATTGGAGTAAAAAAAACATTTTTCCTATTTATCGGGCTGTTGGTTTATATCAATGTTCTGATTAGAGGATTAAATGATTGTAGGGCCTTCTTTGGGTCATTATACAGATGCTTGGCAAGGGGAGCAAGGGCAGTGCTACAAGTATATCCCGAAAACGTTGCTCAACGTGAACTTATCCTAGGTTTTGCCATGCGTTCCGGCTTTTCTGGCGGTGTTGTTGTTGATTTTCCACATAGGTATGTCTAAAGATATGCCGCTTGATATTTGGATAATTAAAAAAATATTTGGAGTAAAAGAGATTTATATAATTAATTTTCCACGTCAACAGTACTAAGCAGAGGAAAGAGTACCTTGTGCTAACGTGTGGTCAAGCATCACTAAATAGTACAACTCCAAATGCAAAAGGTGAAGATGGAGAGAGTTGTTCCGACGAAGACGACAGCAGTGGAGATGAAAAGAATCACTCGGTAAGTTCGTCTATTTATTAAAAAAAAAAATAACCGGCTCACTAATTACATTTATTTTGGTAGCTAGTTGCTAAATTATCAGTTTGTTATGCATCGCAGGTTTCTGTATCCGACAGGCACAGGCCTAGGAAAAAGCAAAAATTGAATAAAAAGGTAAGAGGAAAAGAATGGGTTCTCAAAAAGAAAGACCAAATGCGCAGAAAGGGAAACGCTGTTCCTCTAGATACAAAGTACACTGCTCGTAAAAGAAAAGATCGCTTTTGATGATGTCACCATTTTTGGTAAACCGGAAGATGTTCAAACTACAGATGGTGAGGCATAAAATATACTTGGTTTCTATTGCATATTAGCTGGTGTTATAATTGATATCAAATTTTGCCGTAAACAATCGGAGAAAAGCCGAGTCTAGTTCGATGTCCAATTCTTGATTAATATTTTGTTTTTCTTTCTCCTTTGTTTTACATTTACAGATTTGATGGTGATTCTGTAATATTGATTTATGTGTCAATGCTGCCTGCTTGAAAGCATTCTTGGTAGATGCTTGAAAATATGCTAATAGTATGTACCATGTGGTATTATCATATTATGTGGCAAAACAGATTTATTCTTGCTCTAGTTTTGCCCTCCTACGTTACATACAAAAATCTGCCGATAAGGTATTTGATCATATGATCCAATAGACTTAGCACAAAGAACAAATCAAGGCTAGGTACTTGGTGCTGATTTACTTTTGATCCAATGTAATATGCCTCGTTCATTTCGTATACCTATGTTAGATTAACTAGTAATTGTACCCGTGCGTTGCACGGAACAACAAATTGCATTGTTTTGATGTTGTAAGAATATGATCAAAATTCTATTATACTGGAACATTATTAAGTATACTACACAAAAAAAAAGGATATAACTTTACTGTTGAATAATTTTCTAAATGAATTGAATCAGCTAATACCAGTAGATTGAAAATTTAAACCAGGAAAAAAATCATCAATTATGTCTTTCATGTTGAGCTTAAAAGTAATTAGATTTAATAACTAAGTTAACATAATCAAAACTGAACTATCGACAACATACAATCGTAAAATGCCATCTATACATCTTGCATCGAAACTAAGCCCTTCTCCACTGCCTCATTTTAAGGCTGTTTTGCCACTGGAATTAACAATTGGAAAATTAAGAAACAAAAATAACTACAAACAATAAATTAAATATCACATACAAACAATAAGTCTTGAAGGTCGACTTCCAATAGCTTGTGGCTCCGCCCATTTTTGGTTAATTTTCTCAAATCACCCCTTTTAATAACATGTCCAATAACATATAAAATGAAATAATTTATACATAAAATTTGAAAACTTTGGTATAAATTAATGAAACACATAATTTAACAAAATGAAATTACCTATAAGCCATGATGGAAAAAGATGTAAACTAATTGCCACACAGTAAATAGGATGAAGAAGAAGATAAGAAACAAAATCTAAACTCGGGTTACCAAAAGAAGAAGCCTTAGGTAGGGAAGAAATAAAATTCAAATGTTGCAGACATTCTGTAAAACGATGTCACAAAATCCGCTAGGGATGAAAATCAGATTTATTTACCCTTTTCTGTAAAAATCGAAAATCATATTATTATAAATAATATATAGGAGAATTTGATGAAAATCGATAATAATATTTAAAATAATATTTAGGAGATAAAAATTTGATAAAAAAATCAAAAAATAATATTTAGGAGATAAAAATCTGATAAAAATCGAAAATAAAATTTAAAATAATAGTTAGGAGATAAAAATTTGATAAAAAATCGAAAATAATATTTCAAATAATGTTAATGTGATAAAAGTTGATAAAATATGAAAATAATAATTAGAATAATATTTAGGAGATAAAATATGATTAAAATCATTCGGTAATAACTCCAATTCCACATTCATACCACTCCTCGGTATTATATTGAACCATACAGGTTTCCTTGATTGCTTCAAGCGTATATTGACCAAACTGATGAATTGTATTATAAAGATGTTTAGGTATGTTTCTACATAAATAATCTTTAGCGCATATAAGATCCTTTCCAATTAATAATTTGATTAAGTTAGGTGTCTCAGAAAAAGTTGAAAATTATATTTAAAATTATAGTTAAGAGATATAAATTTGATAAAATTAAAAAAATATGATTTATAATAATATTTAGGAGATAAAAATTTGATAAAAATCGAAAATAATATTTAGGAGACACTAATCTGATAAAAAACAAAATTAATATTTAGGAGATAAAAACTAATAAAAACATGATAAAACTCGAAAAAAATATTTAAAATATTATTTAGGAGATATAAATTTGATAAAATTCGAAAATAATATTTAGGAGATAAAAATCTGCTAAAAGTTGAAAATTATATTTAAAATTATAGTTAGGAGATATAAATTTGATAAAATTAAAAAAATATTATTTATAATAATATTTAGGAGATAAAAATTTGATAAAAATAAAAAATAATATTTAAAATAATATTTAGGGGATACAAATATGATAAAATTCGAAAATAATATTTAAAATAATATTAAGGAGATAAAAATTTGATAAAAATTGAAAAAAAATTACAAATATGACATTAGGGTTTCTTAGGGATTGCCCTAGCGTTTCTTTCTTTTATATATAAGATTTGGACCAGATTGAATTCAATTTGCTTCCTACAAACAGCCCACCCAAATTGACGAAAGTTTGAATTGTTATGTTTGCTTTTTTAGTTTGCAAAATATTATGTAATGCAATAATAGATATACAGTCGCGCCTACAGTTTTAGTAAAAGCGTTCAAATGCTTTCCATCTGTATTTAGTAATTTTTGTACTGTAATTAGTTAGTTGCGTTGTATAAATACTGGGCTGAAACTCACGTTTTCCATTCAACATTCTTCATCATGTTTCTTCTCTCTATCAATGAATCTGAACATCACACTTTGTTATGGTGTCAGTTAATTCCGCAAAACTATAGTTGATCTAGTATCTTCCAATTTGGTTTTAGATGTAGTCCGAACTTGGTTTCAATTTCTTCCAATACAAATCCAGTTTGTTGTCCCTGTAGATGTAGGATTGCTTCTCAATCTGAACCACATCAATTCTGTTCGTAATTGTGTATGGTTTTCATAATTCAAATATTCTGCATTTGTTCATATATTCACAGCAATTGGTGCGGTGAGCGTGGAACGAAGAAATGACAGGAGAAATGACAGGAGGAAGATTCGAATTGAATAAATACATCAGAGAGAATGACTTCAATATGTGGTGAATTAAGATCAAGGCGCTGCTCGTTCAACAAAGAAGTGGATGCCAAACTTGTTCCAGTTATCCAATCAAAGACACATAGTGCCTTGATATTCAGTCTTGGTGATGAAATCTTAAGAAGAGTGTCAGAGGAGGACACAACTCTTGCAGTTTGGGAAAAAATAGAGACTCTCTATATCAAAAGATCTCTAGTAAATCGACTCCACCTCAAGAAACAACGCTACTCCTCGCAAATGGAAGAAGGGAAAGATCTGAGAAATCATCTAGATGATTATAACAAGATTATTCTTGATCTCACAGCAGTAGGGGTTAAAGTTGAGGAAGAAGATCAAGCAATTATACTCTTGAGCTCTCTACCAAAGGTTTATGAGCACTTTGTTGATACAATGCTCTATAGAAATTAAAGCAAACATTGACCATGACATAAGTGAAGAATGCTTTGAACTCAAAAGACCTCCAAAGAAGAATTGATTCCAGGAAAAGTGCAGGTGAGAGTCTTATGGTTAAAGGGAGACCTGAGAAGAGAGACTCAAGCAAGACAAGGTTCATATCCAGATCAAAGTCAAGAAATGGAACCAACTCCTTAAGAAAATGCTGGAAGTGCAAAACTGAGGGGCACATAAGGAAAAACTGCCCACAGAGAAAGAGATTTGACACTGAAAAGCACATTGAAAAGGGAGAAGCCTATATTGCCTCGGATGGTTGTGCTGCTGCTGATGTATTAGTAGTTACAATCATTGAATACCTAACTGAGATTCTTTCAGCTACAACATTTGTGGGATACTGTGAGATTGTAACTGTGGAGGCTGGAATATTCGTAATGGGTAGGATATTCTTTTCACTTGACCTCAAACAAACTATGGTTTGAGGAACTAAGGGAGTTTGAAGGAGGTGTAGCCATTCTTGGAAACAACAAGGCTTGCCAAGTAAAAGGAGTGGGCACTGTGAGATTGAAGCTGGCAACTGGTATGAACAAATTAGTTACAAATGTAAGGTATGTGCATAAGATCAAACGAAATCTCTTATATGTTGGTATGGTTGACAAAAGTGTCTATGAGATAAGAATCTTTAATGGTAAGATGAGAATAATATCTGGATCACTTACTGTGATGAAAGCAAATAGAAAAAATGGTATATATATCCTGGAAGGATCTACTGTCTATGGCACAATAGACTTGGACATTTAAGTGAAAGGGGACTAAACGAGCTTGGCAAACAAGATCTGTTGTGTGGACACAAAGCTCAGAAGTTGGAATTATGTGAGATCTGCATTCTTGGCAGAGTAACAGAGTAAAGTTCAACACACTAGAGTCCACTGTACTAAAGCCACTCTGGACTATGTCTACTCTGACCTATGGGGGCCATCAAGAGATCAAACAATGGGTGGTGCAAGGTATTTCATGTCCAGTATTGTTGACTTCTCAAGAAAGGTATGGACATAATTACTTAAATGCAAAGATGAAGCATTCATTATCTTTAAGAATTAGTTGAAACTTGTGGAAACCAAAGTAGAAGAAATTTTAAAAATCTAAAAACATACAATGGCCTAGAGTTTGTTAATAATCAATTTAATAAATTATGTCAACAACAAGGTATTTCTATACACGAACCTGTAAAAGAAACTCCTCATCAAAATGGATTAATTGAAATTATGAATAGAACACTCACATAAAGGGTTAGATGCATGATGATTAGTGCAGGCTTGAGCAAGAAATTAGAGGAGACGCTATCAAAACAACTTGTACCTCATAAATAGAAGTCCCTCAACTGCATTAAATTTCAAGTGTCTTCGAGAGATTTGGACTGGAAGCAAACCTGATCTAAGAAACCAAAGGGTGTTTGGTTGCATCGGATGTTTACACTTAAAGCAAGAAAAACTTCAACCAAGAGCCAAGAAGAGCATCATGCTAGGTTATCTAGAAGGAGTGAAGGGTTAAATATTGTGGTGCATTGAAGAAGGCTCACATAAATGCATAATTAGCAAGTATGTGGTATTAAATGAGATTGAGATGCCTCTAGTGAAACCCAAGATCTCAGTAACTACTGCGAAGAAAGATGACTCACAACTCAAGGTGGAGTTTGAGCATAATATAGAAAATGAAGATAAATCAAGCTGTGAAGAAGAAATTAAGGTATAAATCCAAGAAGATGAACCTATCTTAGAAGAATATAGTGATCCAACTCTGACTATCAATTAGTAAGAGATATAGAAAGAAGTACCTCTAAACCAACTCAAAGGTATAGCTATGCTGATATAATTGCATATGCATTATCTGTGAGTGATGAAAGATCAAAGTTGGAATCCGAAACATACTAAGAAGCTATAAACTGCTATAATAAGAAAAGCTGGTTACAAGCTATGACTGAAGAGATGTAATCTCTTGATAATAACAAAACATGGAAGATTTTCCCCAAACCTGAAAGCAAGAAGTTAGTTGGTTGCAAGTGGATATTCAAGAGAAAAGAAGGGATATCTGGAGTGGAGAAACCTAGATTTAAAGCCAGATTAGTGACAAAGGGCTTCAATCAGAGGCCAAGGGTAGACTACAATGAGATATTCTCTCCAGTGGTAAAGCAAAACTCCATTAGAGTGATCATATCACTTGTTGCAAAGCTTCATCTGTAGCTAGATCAAATGGATGTAACAACAATTTTTCAGCATGGAGAGGTAGAAGAAACTATCTACATGAAGCAACCACCTTGTTTTGAGGAAGAAGATACTGAGAAGGTGTGTCTATTAGGACACCTCTATATGGTTTAAAAAAGACTCCAAGGTAGTGGAACAAAAGGTTTGACACCTTTATGCTATCAATTGGATTCACTGGCAGTTGCTATGATAGCTGTGTATACTCAAATAGAGCATATTCTGTGACAAACCAATGATCCTATTATTTATTGTATGTGGATGACATTCAGATTGCTGGAAAAGACAAAAATGATATTGAAAAAATTAAAACAAGCCTTAGAGGAGAGTTGAAATGAAGCACATGGGGAAAATTAGAAGAATTCTAGGCATTGAGATCATAAGAGAGAGAGACACAAAAGTACTGTATTCTTATCTCAAATGGAGTATATTTTGAAGAGACTCAAAAGGTATGGCATGTCTGAAGCTAAAACAGTCTCTACTCCATTAGGCATTTATTTCAAATTAAGTATCTCTCAAGCTCCAAGTACATAATAAGATAAGAGCTATATGAGAGATATACCTTAAGCAAATGCCATTGAAAGAATTATGTATTCAATGATTTGCACAAGACCTGATCTTGCCTATACTATCAGCACGCGAAACAGAGTTGTGGGGAATCCATGGAAGTTACATTGGAAAGCCTTGAAGTGGCTCATGAGATACTTAAAGGGATCTGTTAACCTAGGAATTTGCTAGAGTCAAGATAATGAAGAATCAAATATGCTAAGGGGTTTTGTAGACTCAGATTATGCTGGTTGTATTGACACCAGAAAATCAATCTCTGGATATGTATTACAACATTTGGTGGAGCAATTAGCTGGAAAGTCAGTCAACAGAAGGTAGTGGCACTGTCATTCACAAGATGAGCATATCGTTGCAATAGAAGCCATTAAAGAGGTGATTTGGCTAAAATGAATGATAAGTGAGCTGAATGGAAATGAGAGTGATGTCACTTTGACAATCAAAGTGCACATCATTTGATGAAGAATCCAATGTTTCATGAGAGCTCAAAACATGTGGATAACAAACTACATCTCATAAGGGATGTAATAGCTAAAGGTCAAGTGAAGGTTGGAAAAGTTGGAACAAAATATAATTCTTCAGATGCACTAACTAAGGTTTTGACTGTTGGAAAACTAAAGTACTGTCTTGGGCTGGTGCAAGTTTGTGATGCAGAAGGAAGGCATATCTCTGGACAATTGTAGATGAGATATGTGAGATCAAAAACTGAAGCACCTAAGAACTAAGGTGCAGAAGTGTTGGAACATATTAATCCAACGGCTAGTTCTTGGTTGGAGATGAATAAAAGAGCATGCAAATGCACACGCCATGCATGGGGTTTTGCTGAGCTGACAGAAGCTGTTGAAGAGCTCCAACATTTTTTTGGCAAACTTGTTCATGCAAGCGATTCACGTGCAAACTTGCTGGCTGAATGTGGGTATATAGATATCATCTTCTTCATATAGAAAGAGTGAGAGAGAACATTATATTGTAACTGAATAACTGAGATACATAGAGAGTGTGAGAGATAAAACTCTTAGCTGCCATTTTTAGGATTTTTAAGCTTTTCTGTGAGTTTTGTTACGATGAGTGTTTGAGCGTTTAAATTGATTTCCAATTTATTTCCAATTTATCAATACAAATCCAGTTTATTGTCTCTGTGGATGTAGGAATGCTTCTCAATCCGGACCACGTTAATTCTCTGTGCAATTGAGTGTGGCTTTCATAATAAAATATTCTTCATTTGTTTATATATTCACAACAAGTTCACTTTTGTGAAGTCAATGAGCTACCCAACCCAGAAAGCCAATGTAGTCTATGAGGGGTCAAGGAAGGCCACGACCCCCCTCAAATTTTAATTTTTTTTTATTACAATATATGAATATGTAATTTTTTTGTCATTATACATTGCTCTTATAAACAATTTAATATAAAAGAAGTTAAATATTTTTATTAAAGAAAACAAAGAAAACAATAAATGAGTCTAACATGTTGAGTACTGAAGTTATGAAGTATGATTTGGAACCAGGAGTGAGTCGACTCTTGGGCAAGGGTGAACTCAATCCCATCCTTAATTAAAAAAAAAATCTACTATATTACACCTATATATTTATTAAAATACAACCAATTTTTATTACTTAGTCCACCCAAAATTCAAATTAATGGAATAAAAATCCTAAGTTGTTCTTTTAATATCTTTTGTTTTGTCAATTTTTATTTATTGAAAAACTAAAAAAGGCTGATTACAATTATAAGTTATAATTACAAAAGTATCAACTTAAACTAAGTATAATTACAAAAGTATCAACTTAAACTAAATATAATTATAAGTTACAACTACTGAAAATTAAAAAAGATGAAAAGAAGTAAAAAAAATTACGGTGATATTTGAAAGCTTGGATATTAGAACATGGATGTTGATGGAAATAAATATAAGTTAATATGGGTCTTTTAAGATATTTTATATAAAATTTATTTATATTTTTAAAATTATAAGATGGTGAAATGAGAAAATTTGAGGGTGGAAATAACACGACGTTTTTTTAATTATGCATTCATACAAGAAAATTCCGACAAGTTTATTTGCACGTCAGTAATCAATGGATGAATTGAACTGGAAATTATGTCGAAATACGACAAACACTTCATTTGCAAAACTATTACATTAACTGGTATGATTGAAATATAATAGCTTATGACCAAGTTCCACAACAAGTTGCAAATAATTTTAATTGTGTTTAAGAAATGCAAAGTTGAAATTTACACAAGGAACATCATATTTACGGTCATTGATTTTGCAAAAGCAATTTTAATGATTTATAGTTAGTTAAATTGACTTTGTAATGATTCGTTAGGTGATTTGAACTATAAATGAGTTTTGAGAGGTGAGCACACTTATGTTCATATTTTTAGGTGGGAGTCATACAATCAAATGGCAAACAGTCACCGCACACAACCTCTCTACCAATATTGAAATTTTCAGCTGAATTCAGTGAAAAGGATGCCTAGAGTGATTAAAATACGGCCAATCGATATCCACATGGATTTTAAAATTAGAGTTCACCAACACCAGATTCTACTTGTCGGAATTGGTTGGTTAATGCGTAAGAAGCGTATGATGATGATGATGATGTAACATTGTGTGGATGCCTACCACATGTTTGTTCAAATTCTTACAAGAATATGAACTCATAGAAACTTATATGCATGCTTGACGTTTCCATTGTGTGTTCGCACATCTCAGAATGGATAATCGTTCCCTAGTAAACATTTCATTTGCATCTCCCTTTCACTATTAGCTTGACCTTTTTTCATCTTTCTAAGGTGAACCTCTAGCTTTGGTGATGTTTCCGTAACGACCCTTTAACGGAATTCAGTTTTTTTTTTTTTTTTTCTCTACGTAATCACGGTATTTTATTAGTGCTAATGATGTGTATAGCCCATATCAGAAATATAAATGTAGTGTGAAACTCCTATTACACGTTCGAAGTTATCTGCATTTATGGAACGCGCCGATCTACAGCAAAAGCTAAAAATGTACAAGATTAGAATATGAAAGAAAACAGAACATAACTAACAAGATATTCACTAGAAAATAATTTTAATCCTCCTAAGACATTATTTCAACAAAGAGAATTTTATTTGTAAAAAAAATGAAATTCATTGAATGAGATTTATTTACAAATTAGGATACCACTAACAGAAACCCGCGACGACAACCTTAATGAATCCCACATGTGCCAGCAGTTAGGTGATTCACTCGCTTTAATTCAATTTCTATTATTGAACTTGGTCAGCAACTTATGTAACTCATGTATATTTGCTAGAATTACGGGCCGTTCGTCATCTTTGATCTCCGGCTTTTTGCATCGGTATTCAAGTATATATTTTGTAATAGTTGCAAGTCCAATTGCTGCTACAAGATAAAAGATAATCTGGAAGCTTGATACGCCGAGACCTTCTGGTCGAAGTAAAGTGTCAGGGTCTACACATTTCGTCTTGTCTCCCAACCACCTCTCTTCGATCTCCACCATCTTTTGTCCCTCCGTCACATTCAAAACTGTTCTCGAAACATCAGGTATCAGAGGAGAGTCTTTCGGGAACACCTGCGAAGAAGCGTGAGATATTTTTACAAAAAACTACGTAGAATAAAACTTATATATATGGATAGAAATAACATACGAATCCGAAGCCATCAGACTTGTACGTGGGCCCGACCAACATGTACTTTGAACAGTATTTGCCTAGGAACAACTTTATATATGGGATCTCATGGAAGGCTGCGGCTATTCCACCATTCGAACTCCCTTTGGAGAGAAGCTCGTCCATTTGCTCCGATGTGTCGAAAGAGATAAGTTGCGACTCGTTGAATTTGCTTTTAAGAAATCCGAAAATAAATGATGTGTGTGAGTAGCCTACTTTCTCCTTGTTTCTTATAAGCACATTGATATCAGTAACCGTCGGCTGCAGCTTTTGGACCGTTAACATGGATGTAAGGCTGGCGGAATAGCTTTGGGTTAATACAAATACCGCGAAAAACCATACTATTAGCACAAACCGAGCCGAGTTTCTCACCACTTTCTCCCCTAGCAAAAAAACACCCAACGGCAAATGGTCAGGATCAATTGCCCCAAAACATGTCTTAAATTTCCGTAAACGTAACATTTGCAATAAGGACTAGTGTTTGTTTAGAAGATGATATGTGGGCTTAGCTTACTATGAGCAAAGAACACGGTGGAGACGGGAAACCAGAATATCATTCCCAATTCATACCCTAAGGGCCCCCTGAATTCTTTATTTATCGGACGCTCAAAAATATAAACCATAATCCCAATTGAAACAAAAGAAGCTACGGTTAGGAACCACATGTTCCTGGTCAGCGGCTTAAGAAATAGCGATTTGTTTCCCCTTTTATCATCTTCGACTGGAACAACCATTGAAATGCCGGACTCTGTATAAGGCAGTGTGAAGTCGACGTACTGCGACCGGTTTCCTACAATTGTTATGTCTCCAGCCACAG